AGATGGGAAATTTTATGGATGTAAATTTAAAATTTACATTCAAATATATAGCCAAAATGCCCTCCCAAAGTGTTGTCCTAATTTAACTTCCAACAACAGCGTGTGATACCTATTTTTGCACATTCCCTCCAACAGTGGATACTATCAATCTTTGAAAGTTTTGCAAATCTAATATAAAAATAGATTTTAGAAAAATCTGCACTTGCTTGATTCCCATCAGGGCTATAGGCATCTTTTCATAGATTTACTGGCCATTTGTATTTCTTTATTCGGCGAGCCAACTATTTGTGACTTGATCCTTCTTTTACAGTATTGTTTATATTTTCTGACTGACCCCTAAGAACTCCATTTATTTTATTTTATTTTTTATTTAATACAGGGCCTTGCTGTGCAGTTCCGACTCATAGTGATTCTTCTGTCTCAGTCTCCCTAGTGCTGGGGTCATAGGTATGTGCCAGCACACCCGTTTTCAGGGGCTACATGGCACGCAGTACCGGGGATCAAACTTGGGACCTTGCACTTGACAGGCAGGTGCTTAGACTGCCAAGCTATCTCCCCAGCCCAAGAACTCCATTTATTATGGATATCAAACTTTTGCCCATTTTTACATGTCAGTCTTGTTAATCTTTCCTTTCTATATTTGTTATGACTTTTAGAATGGCTTTACCAGCCATTATTTTTACACATGCTCTCTACTCTTCTGGTATTTTATGACTTTTCATTTGTAGTTTTTTGTTTTGTTTTGTTTTAATTTTTTTGAGGCAGGGTCTTGTTATGCGGTCAGGAGCTCACTTTGTAGCCCAGGCTAGTCTCAAATTTGCAACAGTTTTCCTGCCTCAGCCTCCCAAGTGCTGGGATTATAGGCGTGCACCACCACCCCTGGCTTCATTTATAAGTTGTTTTGTTTTTTTTTTCCGCAGAACCGGGGATTGAACTCAGGCCCTTGCGCTTGCCAGGGAAGCGCATATTCCACTGAGCCATCTCCCCGGCCCCAATTTATAAGTTTATACAGTATATGCTTATAAGTTTAACCCTTTAATCCACCTGGGATTTATTGACTGTATGTGGTAGGGATCTGTATTCTGTGTATGTATTAAGCAAATCCTATTCAAAGCATTTGACCTAACTTTTCGTACATATAAACAGAAGAAATTACTTACCATCCAGAGGGAGCCTCCATTTAGCTTATGAACTGACACCAACGGCTGGATGTGGCTCAGGGGCAAAGTGCTTGCCTAGCATGTTTGAGGCTGTGAGTTCTATCCCCAGGAGCCCAGAAAGAGAGGGAAAAGGATAAAAAAGAGCTGGCTCCAATAGTCCTTTAAATGGTGAGCTCCCTTCTTGAATCTAAATTTACTTTGTTCATATCAGGGATAGAGCCAGGTTTTGTGGGGCCTGGAGTTTACTAATTTAGGAGCTTCTTTTTAATGTGGGAATATCAAATTATGAGTATAAAATTAGGCACAGGCCCATGCAAGTGCATGGACCTGAAATCCAAGCTTCCTCACAGTAAATATGCCCTGGATATATTATCAGAATGCATCTGTTATATAAAAGGACAAGGAATATGTGTAGATTGATCTGACTGTCTATATTTCCCATTGCTGCAACCTCAGTATCTTTTTTTCCTTTGTTTTTTAAAGAGACATTTAAGAGGAGACACATACACCAAAGTGGCTTTAATGTTGTGAGTGGAGTTAGTCCAGTGGAGAAATTCTTTGAGATGAGTCTTTGCTATCTCTGCATTGCTCAAATGTAATATATTTGATCAGTGGAGTAGCTAGGTGCTTCGTATAATTTAATAATGGGGATCGTTAATCTTGTAAGCCTTGGGAACCTGAATTTACGACTTTAACTTTGCATATCTGCTTACTTTTGCATTAAAGTTTGGTCAGCATTGTTAAAAGGTTTGCAAATGCAACCAAGGGGGCTTTTGCATCCTACAGCTCTAGAATCTAGGGAGGAAAGCAGTAACCAGAGTCATCCCAAATAAAGCAGAGGATACCAGTATAATAATTATAGCTGACTTTCATCAGGAGACAGACACCTCTCCAGAGCTGTCCCTTTGAGATCCTTAGGTCTAGTGCTCTCATTTGACAAACATGAAACAGACTTAGAGATCTTTTGACATACGGTTGTATATGTCAGAGATTGTTTAGAAAAACTTTGCATGTATTCTTTCGTTTAATCCCTTTTAGAGCCCTGTAAGTTAATTACTATTATTCCCATTTTACAGAAGAGAAAACTGGGACCCAAAACTTTCCAGGGTCTCATAGCTAAAAGCAAAAAAGAGCTGGAGTCTCTTTAAGCAAAAAGAGCTGGAGTAGATCCTTGAGCAGCTCACTCCCAGCGCCTCCTTCCTGAGCTCTGCAGAGGCTTCCCCTCAGGTACATGGTAAAGATCTGTACACTTAGGGCCTATTACAGCTCTAGGCCTTCCAGAAGTAGGTAGACATTAGGGTCCCTTCTACTTCTGTTTTGTTTTGCCAGTGTCAGAAGTTCTTGAGACAGGGTTTTGCTGTGTAGTTTATGTTGGCCTTGAACTCATTATGTAGCCTGGGCTGGCCTTGAACTCATGGTGATCCTACTACCTCAGCCTCCAGAGTGCTGGGATTAGAGGTGTACACTACCACATGAAGCCAGTGTTGGGAATTGAACTCAGAAACTTTGTCATGCTAGGCAGTTGCCCTGCCACTGAACCACACCTCCTAACCTCCTTTAGATTTTTGTGGAACCGGGGATTGAACTCGGGCCCTTGTACTTGCCAGGCAAGTGCTTATTCTACTGAGCCATCTCCCCGGCCCCTCCTCTAGATTTTTGAATAAGCAGATGCCTACATGGGGTTACAAAAACTTGTGGCATATTTAAATTTTTAAGCTTAACAAATTCCTTTACCACAAAAAACAATACAGTTCTGCTACTTTATAGATAATTACGACATTCATAAGATATATTAATTCAAAGAGCCTTTATCATCAGATTGGTAAGAAAATGAGGCACTTTTTTTTTTTTTTTTTTTTTTTTGGAACTGGGGATTGAACTCAGGCCTTTGTGCTTTCCAGGGAAGCACTTATTCTATTGAGCCATCTCCCCAGACCACCCCCCTTTTTAACAGTAGGGAGAGGGCCAGGGAGATAGCTCAGTGGCATAAGAGCCTGCTTAGCAAGTGCTCGATCCTGTGTTTGATCCCTGGTACCACCAAGGGGTAATATTGATTAAATGAGGATCAAATGGGTAGATAAGTCATGTAGCAAGCGCACATGGGACAGACAAGGACTTTCCTGAAACAGGTAGGGAGTCACTATTTAAAGTTAATAGTGAGGGGGCCTGGGAGATAGCTCAGTAGAATAAGTGCTTGCCTGGCAAGTGCAAAGGCCTGAGTTCAATCCCCAGTTCCGCAAAAAAAAAAAAAAAGAAAAAAGATAAAGTTAATACTGAGGGGGCTTGCAGGTTAGCTCAGCTGTTTAAAGTGCCTGCTTGGGCAAACTCAGTCAGGTGCAGGGGACTGCGATTCGAATCCCAACTCCACATCTGTACCAGCTCCACATCTGCACCAGCTCCACATCTGCACCAGCTCCACATCCACACCCTACCTGCCCTGCCCTTAAGACAGTCTGAGCCAACCAAAAAAAAAAAAAAAAAAAAAAAAAATCCTTCTAAAGTTAATGGTGAGTCTCTCCTTTCACTCCTGTGCCAGTACTGTGGTAGACAAGCTCATTTGGAGAACATAGCAGAAGCCCACTGGTTTGGCAATAAGAAGGTGACCCAATTTGATGGGAATAGAAACAATAGTCTTGTGCCTGGTCTGTCTTTTGTTTTTCCAATATTGATCGCTAAAAGGATAAATGTTTATAGAAGATTATACTAAAATAGCCATCTTCCTTGTTTTGGGTAAAAAGACAAGCTACTGAATCAATGCTGACTGATAAAACACAGGCTTTGATTTTGTATTTTGTGTGCATTAGTCTCTCTTCAAACATTTTCCCTCCTTCTCTCTGATGGTCCTAGAGATCAAACCCAGTGCTTTGCCAGCTCTCCACACAGCTACCAATTCCTTCTTTTCTTTTTCTTTTTTCTTTCTTTTCTTTTCTTTTTTTCTTTTTAGACAAAGTCTCACTGTGTAGTTCTGGCTGGCCTTGAATGTACTGTATAGTCCTGCTACTTTTAAGATAATTATGACATTCATAAGATATATTAATTCTTTCTTCAAACTCATAGCAGTCCTCTTGCCTCAGCCTCCTGAGTGCTGGGATTACAGACATGTGCTACCACACCCAGCCACATTATTTCATTTTTGATGTTTTCCTCATTAAAATTAAATTTTCTAGGTAAAAAAGGAATAATTTTTAAAATTAAAGACTAGATTTCTAAGTCCCTGGAAGAACAAATTAAAATGCAGGTACCATTTCCAGCCCGATTAGTGACTTGCTCTGCAACTTTTGCAAAACTGGTTAACCTTTTTTTGTCTGCACAGTAGAAATGATGGTGTTAACATCAGATTTTTCTAAAGCATTTTTCAAAGCTATGAGCAAAAGGTATTAAAAATATTGCCTGCATTATTCCCAGTTCCCACCTAGCAATCCAACTCCAATTACCTGTCACTTAGAAACATTTGTAGGTAAGACTGTTATCACACTTTGTTAATCAGAACTTTCTCTTGCAGTTGTGTTTTGTTGTTTTCATTCAAAAGTAATGTTTTGCAAGTGACTGCTTTCTTTTGAGGGTTAGAAAACATGACTACAATTTCCATACAAATACCGTATTCTTATTAACCACATCACCCGTCCATGCTTTAGGCATTTTGCAACTCCTTCGTAGATATAATCGCTTTTTTAATCTCCATTGAAGGATAACAAAGTAGCAAGGTTTAAATCTTGACTTGTCATCAGAATTGAATTGTTCTCCAGAGCAGGGAGGAGGGGATGAGACTGTGTTGAGCCTCATTCAGAAGTAGCAGTAGTCTAGAATCTCAGGGCCTGCTCTCCTTTCTTTTCCTTCCAGTATGGTGACTACGACCCCTCTCTGCACAAGCTGGGATTTTTGGCCCAAGAGGAATTGCTTCCAAAAAGGGTAAGAAATTAAATCTGGAGAAAATATAGAGATGTGGTCCAAAAGAAACTAACTGAAGGACTTCAAGAAATGTTAGAAGTCTGTTGCAATTTCCATAAATATTTTGTAATAAATCTTGTATAAAGTATATGAGATCTCTGTTAAGCATATTGAAAAGCAGAGGTTTATGGAGTTAACGTGGGGTTGCCAGGATGAGCACGGCCTGTCAGTATTTCTATAGTGTGGCAATTTCTGTGAAGGAGATTGAGTGGCATTGATTCCCAGGGAGGTGTGTGGAGTGGCGTGTGTTCAGCCCAGGGAATTGAGCTGTTTGCAGCAGCAAGGGGTGGATGGAGGGGATGAGGTAGGGGTGGACCTTCTGGGCTTTAATCCTCAGTGTTGTTCATCTTGTTCATTAGCCACAGCAGCAGGCCCTCCCTCCCTTTTGCTGCTGCTGATTTTATAGCCCCAGTCATCTGTCACTGGGTAATAAAGACCTGCTCCTCACCTCTCCCTGCCTTCATCTGTCCTCTGGTGGCTTCTTTGAAGGGACGGCTGGGGGTATAGAGCACTGCTCCACTGTCTGAGGTGGTCTCTGGGATGTACACTCAGTCAAGAAAGGAGGGGTTGCTGCCAGCCAGGGGTGCACCCAGGCCTGGGACTCCTGCAGTTTTCAGGTTGCTTCTTCCTTTGAATGTTGCTTGTTTTCACACCCACCTCTGTGTGTGACTCTCTCCCTGCATGTAGCTTTTTAAAAATAGCTTTGTTGTTTTGTAAAAATGATGCATAATTATAAAAACGGCAAACAATACCCAAACTTACTTTGTGTGTGGGTTGTTTTTTGTTGTTTGTTTTTTTTTTTTTTAATTTTGCTCTCGTTTTGGGTAGGTAATAAATCTGTATCAGATGACTCCGGAAATGTGGGAGGAAAGAATCACTGCCTGGTATGCAGGGCACCGCGGCCGAGCCAGGTGAGGTTGCTTCATCCTTGGTTTACAATTCTTTTTTTTAATTTTTATTTATTTATATGTGTGTGTGTGTGTGTGTGTGCGCGCGCGCGCCCGCCTCAGCCCACCAGGGGGTGGTGCTGGCTGGCATGTGGTGCTGGGGGATTGAACCGCGGTCCCTGTGCTTTGCTAAGCCTTGTTCTAAGTAGGCGCTTTAGACCACTGAGCCATCTCACCAGCCCCGGTTTACAATTCTTTATGGACCTTTTTTTCTCCCCTCTCCTTAAAGAACTACAAAAGTAGGACACGCTTGTTGAACAAACTGCAATACTGAAACATATAAAAGAAAAAGGGAGAGCCGGTATTAATATTGGTCTTCAGTTTCACGTGTATTCTTTTGAGTTCATTAATATAAAGTGGACAAGTGTACTACCTGTCAGGATGTACAGGCCTATTGTACCTACTGGTAATTTAATTTTAAGAATTTTATTTGTATGGAAAGCCCAGTGCTTTTGTATCTATTCCTCTATTGATGGTATTTGTATCTGTAGGTTTTTTCAGTCTTACAAAACATTCTGCAGTGCCCAGTCTCATATTGTTACACCACTTTATAAGTAAAGGCCTCAGGGTAGATTCTCTAAGGAGAGCTGTCAGCAAAGGCATGGGAACATTTTGTGTTTTTAGAGGTGCCACCGAATTGGCCTCTAAAAAGTTTGGTACATGTCCAGTATTATAACAGTGTCTTCCCCACCCCAGTCTATCATCAGCATTTGTTTTGGTTATTCTATAATTTTTGTTAAGCTAAAATGTGAGCATTCTTATCTTATTGTTAGCATTCCTGTGATGACTTTAGGAATTGATCATCTTTGTATTAGCTTTAATTTTTTTTCTCCAAGTCAACTTCTTACTGCATACTTTTTAAGTTAAAAAAAAAATACAACTGCATATCAAAAAATGGACAAATCATGAGCATACTACTTGAGCATTTATCACACACACACAAAAAGAAAACACTACATAACCCTCAGAGAAAAAATAGCCCAGTACCTCTCCCTGCTTGCTTTCTCCCCAAAGGTAATGAGTCTCCTGATTTTTATATCATAGACAATACCCATTTTATTTGAATTTTGCAGTGCTGGAGAGCAAATTAAGGGACTTGCACTAGGCAAGCACTCTACCACTGAGCTATACCTTTAGCCCAGCATTGCCCATTTTAAACTCTAGATAAGTAAAGTCAGTTTCTGTTTTTTTATAACTTGCTTCTTTTACTGAGCATCATACTAGGAGATTTAGTTTGTGACATGTGACATGTTTTCTCATTTTCATGCAGAGTTCCACTGTATTAATAAACCACAAATTATTCATTCATTCTACCACTGAAGGACACTTAGGTTATTCAGTTGTCTCCTGGTTTTTGCTGTTACAATAATGTCAAACTGTTCCCCAAAGTAATTGTACCAATTTACATCAGCAGTGTGTGTGATTTCTGGTTCCTCCACCTGCTTGCCAACACTTGGCGTTCTCTCAGGGTGAACTTTTAAAATCCATTTGAGAGCATTTTGAGATCAGAGAGAGAGTAAAAAGGACAAGGTCATAGGAAGGCTTGAGTTAAAATATTTCAATACTATTACCTGTTTGAGAGTTTTCTGCAAGTCACTGCTGCTTCAAGAACTTACTTACTTGATTGATTGGTTGGGTGGTTGTAGTGCAAGGGTTGGAACCCAAAGCATCATATCTGCTAACATGCTGTCTTCCACTGAGCTGCAGTCCCAGCCCTGGAGCTTACATTTAATTTGACTTATAAATTGGTGACCTGGATTAGGTTTTACAGCGCTGATACCTCTTATCCTAACTTCCAATAATGCCTCAAGAAATTAAATCAGGAAAGTAGTTGACATGTAGCTTGCAGGGAGAATTGTTCATTACTAAAATCTAGGTTAAGATATTACACAAACAGCTGGGTGTTGTGGCATGTGCTTGTAGTCCCAGCACTTGGGAGGCTGAGGCACAAGGATCATTGTAAGTTTAAGGCCAATCTGTGCTACATAGTGAGTTCAAGGCCAGCCTGAATTATGGAGCAAGACCCTGTCTCAAAAGCAAAATGAAAACTAAAACAACACAAAAATATAGAGAGTAGAAAGTACACAAAAATAAGACAACTTAAATAATTTATTTTTTTGCAGAACCGGGGATTGAACTCAGGCCCTTGTGCTTGCCAAGGAAGCACTTATTCCACTGAGCCATCTCCCCGGCCCCCTTAAATAAAATTTGAACATCCAAACCCATTCAAAGTTAAAAGATAACATTATATGTACATGTGTTTATTTTGTTTGGTACTAGGAATCAAACTCACAGCCTTGTGCTTACCACACAGGCGCTGTGCCACTGAGCTGTATGTCCAGTCCCCATGTTTTTTCCTTGAATCATTTGAGATAGGTGTCACTATTTACCAAGGGCAGAGTGTGAAACTGAAGCCAAGATATAGCGTAATTAATCTGTTTTCTTATTTTTACGGGAGTGGGAAATTCTGCTTGTGTCTAATAGACTGGAGGTTGGGAAGTGCTTTCCCAGTGTCTGCTCTGGCTCATGTCTTCCATAGGTGTCCCAGGCCCAGGAGAATGTCAGGGTCAGAATGCTGTGCTTGGCAGGTATCTGCCCCCCAGTCTTGTCACCTAACTCCCATGACAATGTTTTCCATTTTCCTCACAGGGATGAAGCTGAAATGGAGTATTTGAAGATAGCTCAGGATCTGGAAATGTACGGTGTGAACTACTTTGCAATCCGGGTGTGTTGAAGCCTCCTTGTGTTCCCTGGCTAGCAAATAGACATTGAACAAGGGTCCGCTGGGTTACCCTTTATCCCAGTGTGGTAGAGCCTTTTGTGGTTCAGTGATAGAAAATAACAGGAAGGGAGAGGGGACTCATCTTCTATTTTTGGACTGCAAATTAGACGATAGGTAATTAAGTGTCAGCTGAGCCTTGGGGGACTTCGGCCTCCTGCTCTCTGCAGAAACCTGTTAGAATAGTGAGTGTTTAATATTTGATTGTTTCGGGCTGGTGAGATGGCTCAGTGGTCTAAAGCACCTACTTGGAACAAACTTCACAAAGCACAGGGACCACGGTTCGATCCCCCAGCACCACATGCCAGCCAGCCCTGCCCCCTGGTGGGCTGAGCTGGCCACACACACACACACACACACACAAATAAATAAATGTTTAAAAAAAAAAAATATTTGATTGTTTCAGGCTCTGTGAGATCTAGGGAGCACCTGGAAATAACCATCTTTCCCGAGGGTCCATGGAGAATAAAGCTGCTTTTATAGATTACTGATTTGTTTGGGTGGGATCTGTGTTCTCACTATTAGACTCATTTTGTTGTTGTTGTTTCCAGACCATTAATGGTCTGCTGTCCTCTGGGAATCCATTGCTTCTGCAGGAGGCATTTGTGCTCAGCTCAGGTCTGCCTCTTTAGCATATCTTTCTCTCATGGGTGGGTCTGGTTGCTGGACATTGTATATAAGCTTCCTCCAACAATGAAATAAATGCAGTGTGCCTAAGCATTTCATGGCTGGTAAAATGGCCACGGTTGTCCACCTTTCTGATCACAATTATGTTTTATTTTTCTTTTCAGTGTTCCTACAACTTTTCCATTAAATTTGGGTAAACTGAAACATTTTTAATATTCTAGAATAGCTTTCTACTTAATTTATTCAATTCCTATATACATATATAGTGGTACCTCGGTTTATGAACTTAATTTTTTATGATTATGGGAGCATAGTTGCTTTATTTGTGTGAGGAAGATGGCCATTGTCTTGTCACCAAATGGGGAGTTTGTGAACAGGAACAAAATTTACCAAAAGCTTTTGTTTGTGAACTGAATCATTTGCAAACCGAAGCATTTGTGAGCCAAGGTATGATTGTACTTATGGATCACTTTGCATAAAAATATAGTCAGATAGGGCTGGGGAGATCATTCAGCAGTCTAAGTGCCTGCCTGGCAAGCGCAAGGACTTGGGTTTGATCCCCAGTACTCCACACTGCGCTGGCCCCGCACTTAGCTGACCAATGAAACCAGGCGTGGTGGTGCGTACCCCTAATCCCAGCTCTGGGGAGGCTGAGACAAGAGGATCACTCTGAGTCTAAGCTGTGTAGCGAGACCCTGTACCAAATACATAAATAAATAAAAGATTTTTTT